TCAACTGCTGGTCTTAATTTTTTTGCTTTTTAAATTACCCAAATTTAAAATATAAAAATTCCATAGTTTTTGTATTTTGCACTATAAATGAATTAAGAAGACTCTGATAAGAGCATAGTTTTTGCAACACATCCTGAATGTTATTTTGAAATAACTACCTTTCATTTCAGAGGACTATTAAGAACATGGAAAAAGAAAATGGAACACTACTGACAGAGTTTATTCTCATAGGACTTATATATAAACCAGAGTGGAAAATTCTTCTACTCCTGCTGTTCTTGGTCATATATCTCATTACTGTCATGGGGAACTTTGGTCTGATTGCTCTCATCTGGAATATCCATCACCTTCACATCCCCATGTACTTATTCCTTGGGAATTTAGCCTTTGTGGATACTTGGCTGTCTTCCACCGTGACCCCAAAGATGCTGGCCAACTTCCTAGCCAAGAGTAAGATCATTTCTCTCTCTGAATGTGTAATACAATTTTTTTCCTTTGTTGTCAGCGCAACCACAGAATGTTTTCTCTTGGCAGTAATGGCATATGATCGCTATGTAGCCATATGCAAACCTTTACTTTATCCAGTGATTATGACCAACAGACTATGTATCCGTTTGATATACTTGTCTTTTATGGGAGGCATTGTTCATGCTTCCATTCATGAAGGGTTTATATTCAGATTAACTTTCTGTAATTCCAATATAATTCGCCACTTTTACTGTGACATTATTCCTTTGATAAAAATATCTTGTGCTGATCCTTCTATTAATTATTTGATGCTTTTTATATTCTCTGGTTCAATTCAGGTATTTACTATAGGGACTGTACTTGTCTCTTACTCATTTGTCCTCTTCACCATCTTAAAAAAGAAGTCTGTCAAAGGCATAAGGAAAGCCTTCTCCACCTGTGGAGCCCATCTCTTATCTGTGTCTTTGTACTATGGCCCTCTTCTCTTCATGTATGTGCGCCCTCGATCATCACAGGCAGATGATGAAGATATGATAGCCTCTCTATTTTACACGGTCATAATTCCTCTGTTAAACCCAATTATCTATAGCCTTAGAAATAAGCAAGTCATAGATGCACTAAAGAAAAATGTTTTGATTTCACACTATCTCTTCTCTTTCTAGTAAACTAGTTATAAAATTTTTAAAATTTTGCACTTTTCTTTTGAGCTGTTTTTGCCTTAAGACATGTGTACTCACCAGAGAGAGGGAAAGAAACAGAGACAGAAGCATTCAGAGGGAAAGTGAGAAATCACCCCTTAAGAGGGGTGGTCATACCACAATACGTTCACCATTCTCTTCCTGAGATTTGGGCATCACACATGTATCCACTATTATTTTCAAGCCACTGGTTTGAAGACTCAAACTGTGGCCTGCCATGTAGGAATCCAGTCACATAACTGCTAAGCCTTGTGCTGGCCCCCAATTTTGCACTTTTAAGGAATTGGGCTGATCTCACTACCTAATTGTTAGGAAGCCATGTTCCATAAGGCTGACTGAGACAACTTGAAAAACATGTCAGGTGCATGTGCATATTTGCACCAAATCCCTAGAGAAATGGAAGAAAAGGGACTATGGCACAACACACTCCATTGGGGATTATATCTTTTCTCTCTCTCGCCTTGTCTCTGTATCTCTGATTCTCTCTGGTGAGTACACCAGCTCTCTGGCAATTAAAAAAAAGTAGTTATATTTTCATAAGTGTCAAAAGCTTTTGCAATGATAGATATCATGACACTTTAATGACTTAAGGTGTTAGTACTTAATAAATTTCTTAAAATATTTGTATATCTTATTCAGAAGAGATTAAGGGACTTTAACCAAGTGTTCATGTCATATTAGAAAACCTAGAGCAAAAAAACAAATGAAAATATTTTACAGTCATGTATGTTCTCAAATGTGTCTTTGTAAATGCATTAAATTTCAAACATTGCAGTTCAACTGATAAGTACCTGAAGATGATGCCACTGATACTAGTACTGAGACAGTGAGAGGGAATTTCCTGTGGCTTACATGACATTTAACTCAGTAGTGGAGGTGACTTTGTGTTGGTTGATCAGAAGCAATGCTTAGGAATGTGCTTGGTCATCAGAGGGTCCTTCACTTTCTGTCCCTAGGTTGTTTCATTTCATATAATATCTTCTAGTCTTGCCCATGTTGCCTCAAGTGACAGAACTGTATTGTTTTTAATAGCTGAATGTTATCTATCCATTTGTTGATGGACATTTAGGTTGACTTTGTATCTTGGGTATCTAGTGAATAAGGTTGTAATAAGCATTAGAATGCAGCTATTGTTATGGTGTTCTTATATCTGTTTGTACCTTGAATAAATAAGAACTGCTGTTACTACATCCTGGTGGGCACGGCGAAATGACCGTGAAACAATCTCTTCTCTTTCGTGGCTCCTGGCATGTTTCTCAAGCCGCAATAACCAGGACTCAAACCACACAGTCAGCCATGTGGGATCCAGCCACCTTAACCACAGCACCACTTTTCTATTTTATTTACATGACTAAACATAGATAAGCAAGATCACTGTGAGACTGATTTCTTTTAGAGTATTTTATCTTTTGTTTCCCTGTCTCTAATTACTTTATAAGTTTGACACAAGTCAAAGTGATTCTTACATAAGAAATCTTTCTGGTGATACTGATAGATCTGCCCGATTCATCACATATCCTAATTAAAACTGTAGTGTCATGTAAATGTCAATTGCTCTCTTTTCTTCCACTTTCCCAGTCATTTCATTGAGTATTATGTATAAAAAAATGGAAATATATAATATCTATACATGTAAGGAAATAAAGTGTAAATAGCCCTCGATTACCCTTAGTTTATGCAGTCAATTTGAAAATGTTCAATTATTTAATGATTTGGGATTGAGTGAAAGGAAATGCATTCCAAATAAAAACACATTTAACAAACATACTGATTTTTTAGGTGTCTGAATCAGGTTGTTTTGACCCGACTTTATACTGCTACAAACCTGTGTGGAGAAAAAAGATCCCTCAAGTTAAATCAATAGAATTTCTAGAGAAAGACTTTGCAGTGACTATAATGACAAAGTAAAGAAAATTTTTAATAAATAAAGAACTTTTAGGCAATGCTACTGTATCTATGAAAAACACACATTTAAAAAGCAGATGTTAAAATCAGGTCTCGCATAACACATTCCCTAGGAAAATAAACTGAATTTTGATGACCACATGAAAAACTGATCTTTAGGGTTGATGTCTTTTAGTAAATGCCAGGGTTAAGAAGAACATGTGTGCGAAAGTTTCTGAGCCTTTCCCTTCCCTTTGTCTCCAGCTTTCTCTGATACTTCATGATCTTTGGCTTTTCTCTGTGACACGTATGCGTACATGTCTGTGTTTTCTGCGGTTCTGTTCCCTTTCTCTTTCTTCACTCGCCCATATTACCCTTTCACTTCTCCAACGACTTTAAGTTCTAGTTGCCTTCCTTTTCTTTCTACTCTATTTAAAAAATATTATTCAAAATTTAGCAGGAAAAATATTTTACAGTTATCTATGCTCAGAAGACAAAAAGACAACTTTTGTCTACATTGCTAGAGTACTTTCTTACATTTCCTTTACTGGGATGCATATTTCCCATTCACTTCTCTTTCATCTCCAGCCTTCACTCTATGTGGAAAGGTTCTTCCTAAAACATTATAATTTCTATGGGGATGCTTTGCATGATCATTCTTACCTTGGGCATCATCCTCAGTAAACCCAGGGATTCTAGTCACTTCTTAGTAAGATGATACAGATTTCTGAATTTAAAAAAATATTAATAATTCTCAGATCTCAGAATGTTTTCTCTTGGCAACAGTGGGATGTGGTCATTATGTAACCATGTGCAAACCTTACTTTATCTGGTGGTTCTGACCAATAGATTACATATCCCCTATTAATCTTCTCATTTAAGGGTGATTTTCTTCATGCTTTAATACATGAATGATTTTTGTTCAGATTAATTTTTTGTATACCAACATAAATCTCACTTTTACATTGAAATTATCCCATCATTATTTTAGTCTATTATTTTTCTATATTTTTCTGGTTCAACCTCAAGTAATTGCCATTATGACTGCACTATCCCTTATGCATTTATAATCTTTACAATCCTCAAAATGAAGTATGAAAAAAATGTAAGAGAAGTGTCACCACATGTGGAGTTTATTTCTTATTTGTGTCTCTATACTATGACTCGCTTCTCTTCAAGTATGCATGCCCTAGATCTTCAAAAGGAAATGATCAAAATAAAAATGACTCTCACAGGGACCAGCAGGTGGCATGGTGGTTAAGGTGCTGGACAATCCCACATGGCTGACCATGCTTCGAGTCCCAGACCCGGCAGCTTGCTTTCTCACTTTCCCTCTCTCTCTGTGCCTCTCTCTGGTCAAATTAAAATAAATGAATAAGGGAACCAGCAGTTAGCATAATGGCTATGTCGCTGGACTCCCACGTAGTCGATCGCGTTTCTCGTCCTGGACCCGGTGGCTTAGAACTCACGCCAGTCGCGTGTGCGTGTGTGCCCAAGAACCCAAGAGGAGAATGGAGGAGAAGGGATTGCGGCGTGACCATCCCCCCTGCGGGGTGATTTCTCGCTTTCTATCTCTATGTCTCTCTCT